GCTCCTGGGGGGTCACTCTGCAAAATCTTGGAAGATTTTGTGCCTGGGTGTGTTTCCTGATGGCGGACAGAGAGCTCCTGGCCTTGTGTCTTGAATGGGGTCAGGGGAGAGGATCAGGAAAAAGTGAGGCTGTTCAGGCTGTATTTGTTACAGCGTGATGGTCCATTTGGATTTCCTAAATTTAAACAGCAACCTAATCTGTCTTTTAAAATGTATTTCTTGACCTCTGACAGAAATTTCAGAAATAAACAACAAATGGAGCCCATCCCTTTGCTCCCAGGCTGGTCCATGACGTCAATTCGTTTATTCCGCATTCAAGCCGTAAGGTTTCACAATTTATATCCTCTGAGTTTTGGTATTCTGTTCCTCATAGCAAATACCTATTAATTACTAATGGATGCACAACAACCTCCTCTTTCCTTCACTGCCATTATTTGGGCACTTCTTTGTGGAATTCTCAGATTCCACGTCCTTCTCTTGAGGCCGTGTCCATCTCACCTTGGCGGCAGCCTTTAAGTGTGCCTTTTGGAGATGAAATTTTGGTGTTGTGGGTGCAGCATGAAGAGGTGACCAAAGCTTTGCAGAACTGAGGCCGCCCTGCAGCACTGGCTTGCCGTGGTCTGTGGCTGTGTTGGGGAAAGTTCCCCCAGCCTCTCTCGGCCCTGACAAGCTGCTCTGGGCTTTGCTGCTGTTCCAAGTACCTGGTCTTGCCCCTTCCACCCCATTCCCTCTCTCCACACAGTTTCCCCAGCTGTCAAAGCCTGACTGGAGACATCACCTTCACCATCAGTCATGCTCTGAGGGTGCCCTGCTGTCCCCTCTTGGCTGGAAGTTTTACATGATGGAAGTTTTACAGTGATGGAAGGATTTGATATTCAGGGGTTTTGGGATCTTGGACTGAGTGTGGAGGAGCATGATCAGTTCTCTGGGCAATGTCTGATTGACAGAAAGAGGGTTTGGAAATTGTCTAGGGATTTTGGAGTGAGTATTGTACGGTCCTCAACAAGCCAGGCAAGTCCAGGTGTCCAGTGTGGTGGCCTGAGAAGGATCTGAATGGCAGGGCCCAGAAGGTTGAGGTCTGGGATGTCCTTCAAACAGGCAGAAGCTGAGAGAGCTGGGAACTCTTTCAGGCAGGAGGCAAGAATGCAAATGGGACATGTTCCCAATTTGCCATGGAATGAGCTCGGATGACACCCGAGTTCTCCTCAGCTTGGGCTGAACCTTCTACGTGCCCTGACACGCCCCACCAACAGCCACACACTGGTCTCTAATTCTGGCAGTTCAGAGGAGCCGCCAAGGTCAGATGGACACAGCCCCAAGGGAAGGACATGAAACTGCACAACTCCAGGAAGGAAAACACTCCCCACCTCAGGACTCACCACACTGGGCAAGGCAAGAGAAGCTGCCTCAAAAATGCCCCAAGGCCATGGGACAAGGCTGGCCCGCCCCTCCAGGACCAGCATAAAAGCCGGCCCAGAGCCTCTCTCCCTCACACACTTCTCCAGAGTCCATCTGCTCCTGCTTCTTCTAAGAACCAGGTGAGCTTCAAACCCCTGACCCTCCTGATCCTGCACCCCTGGCCCCTCTCTTCCAGCACGCTCAGCCCCAGCCTCAGCAGCCCTCACGCCTCCCCACAGCCCCACAACAGCCTCCACACTCCATCACTACCCCTTGCAACCCTCACCCCTGCTCTGCATTACCTCCTTCTCTCTTCCAGGCACCTTCCACACCACACCCATGGCCTGCAACAACATCTGCAGTCCCTGCGGACCCACCCCGCTGGCCAACAGCTGCAACGAGCCCTGTGCCCTGCAATGCCAGGATTCCCGAGTTGTTATCCAGCCTTCCCCTGTGCTGGTCACCCTGCCAGGACCCATCATGACCTCCTTCCCCCAGAGCACCGCCGTCGGATCCACCTCCTCGGCTGCCGTGGGCACTGAGCTCAGTGTGCAGGGACAGCCCATCTCTGGCGGATTTGGTGGCTTTGGCTACGGCCTTGGCTATGGCCGTGGATTTGGCTACGGCCTGGGAGGCCTGGGCTGCTATGGCAGGAGGGGCGGCTACATCTGCTAAGGGCCCTCAGCACCACCCCTGACACCAACCACCCACTCCCTGGAACACATCGCAGGCATTGAGGACACATCTCTTGGCCAAGGCCTCAAATGGGCTCAGCAATTCCTGTTCCTTTGATGCCTTAAGGAATCTCCTGCTCTCAGGGCTCCGAGCATGGCAGCTGCCAAGGGTCCAGCCTGGGCTGCCTGCAAACAAGGCCCATCTGCCTCTGGCTCTTCTCCCACTCCTTTTCAGCTCTATCCAATCCCCTCTTCTACAAATCCCTTCTCCCAACCCAGAGGCCATTGTGAACCTTCACCATCCGGCTGCTTCTTCTCTGGAGCAGGAAGGCCTTGCCGCTCTGCCCAAACCACTGCAATCAAAGGACCTTGGCTGATGGTCGCTCTACTCGTCCCTCAGACCAGCTCCCTTCTACCGGCTGCTCCTGACCTCTCACTGTTCTTTTGCCTCAATAAAATTCTCTTGCCTTGCAACAAGAGACGTCTCCTTACACTTCCTTCTGAAAAAGGTGTGCCAACAACACTTGGCACAAATCCGTGTCACTACACGCCATTTGGTGAGGCTGCAAATTGCACCAACACCTCTCTTGCAATTGGTTCTGCAGTTCCACTGCCCACTGGGACACACTGACACACTTTGTGGCCATCACACAGAAGAATTTCACTTGCTGAATCCCTGGTCTGGGCACACCAATGCAGGTCTATCCTGGATTCTGGCACAAGCCCCTCATGGGTGCTGTGTTCATTTGGGCTGGACATTGTTTGCTACACACCCTCATCATCTTCCAGCCCCATTTACAGATCCGCTCAACCTGCTTCATGTCTCCCTTATTTTCATGTCCCAGAGTTGAACACAAATTTCCAATCCACATCAAACAGGGAGAGGGGCAGAATTTCCCCCCCATTCACCTTCTGCTCATGCCGTGGACATGAGCCCAGGACATGGGGAGTTTCTGGTCAGCTCCTTCACGTGGTGGGGCAGCTCCAGTTCTTCACCCACCAACACTCCAAGGCTTTCTCCTCTCGACTGCTCTCAATCCAATCATCATCAAGTCTACAGCCATCTTTAGAATTGCCTCCAACCACATGCACGACACCTTGCACTTGGCCTTGTTCAGCTTCATGAAAATGACAATATCCCACATTCCCAACCTGGTCCAGCCCCTCTGAATGCCATCCCTTCCCTCCAGACAACCAACCCCACCACTCAGCTTGGAGTGGTCCCTGCTTTTGCTGATCACCCCACTAAATCCCAGCACCCTGATTTCTGACAGTGATTCAAAATTTTAACAATCCCAACATGAGTCTTTCTGGGTCACCACTCATCCCCGCTCTCCACACAGGGATGTGGAGCCATTGACCACAAATCTCTGAGTGACACCATCCCGCCCACTCCTTATCCACCAAATGGTCCAGCCAACATCCATATCTCTCCAGCTTGGAGACAAGGATGTTGTCTGGCACAGGAACAAAGGACTTGCACAACTCCAGGTGCAGGATACCGGCATCTCTTCCCTCATCCACCCATTTTGGGCTGAATACCAACTCATCAAAGCTGCTGCCAAGGTCAGAAGGGCACGGCCTCGAGAGCAGGACACGGAATTGCAGAGCTGTAGGAATCAAAGCATTCCCAACCTCGTCACTCACCAGGCTGTGCCAGGCAAGAGCACCTGGCCTGGAAAATGCCCCAATGTCATGGGCAATGGCTGTCCACAACCTTCAGCCATGGATCATCCTTGAGGCTGTGCTCTGGATATCCCTCACCTGAGTCTTGTCTTCCTTGTTACCAGGAACCCAGAGATTTACAGAGTTCTCCACAATCATCAGAGCAGAGCAGGGGCAGAATCTGCTGCACCTGGATTGGAGCAATCCCAACCATGCAGGATAAAGGCTGGGAGATGAGGGGATTGAGCACAAGGAGGAGCCCTTGGGCTGCTGGTGGATGAAGTATTGGACATGCCCTGCCATGTGAGTGCACCAAACAGAAACCCCTCTGTGTCCTGGGCTCATCCCCAGAGAATGGGTGGCAGGTGATGGGGGGATTCTGCTCCTCTGCTCCACTCTGGTGAGACTGGAGATGTGATTTGTTTTCCCAGCTCTGGGACCAGAAAAAAAGGAAGACATGGACGTGCTCAGCCAGAGCTGGAGATCACCCTGGAAGTTAATGACAGGCAGGAGCAATGGGAGTCCAGAAAAATTGCACACAGCACCCACGAGGGGCTTGTGCCAGAGCAGGGATAGATCTGCATTGGGGTGTCCAGGTTTGTGTTGCAAATGCTGAAGGGTTCATGTGATAATGCACTGGAAGTGCAAAATATGGCCCTGAGTAGTGGAACTGCAGAAATAATACCTAAGCGTGATCTTGGTGCATTTTTTAACCATCCCCAGTGGCCTCTACAAGCCTGGCTTAGTGCTGAGTGAGACTGGAGGAAGCTTGGGAGAAGAAAGAAGGAGTCACCTGAGGTAGTGATGCAAGAAACCTTTATTGAGGTAGAAGAGTGAAAACTCAGGAGCAGTCAGTAGAAGGGAGCTGGTCTGAGGTGCAAGGAGGGCCAGCATCAGCCAAGGCCCCTTCCTTTGGCGAGGTTTGGCCAGAGCATCGAGGCTTTCCTGCCCTGCCATGGGAGCAGCACAGTGGTGGAGGTGCCCGATGGCCTCTGGCTTGGGAGAAGGGGTTTGTCCAGAGGGGGCTGGACAGAGCTGAAGGGTCCATGCAGAGCAGGGAGCAGGAGAAGAGCAGGAGGCAGATGGGCCATGTTTGGGGACAGCCTGGGCTGCCCCCTTGGCTGCTGCCTTGCTTGGTGCCCTGAGAGCAGGAGCTGGAAGAGCTGAGTCTGCTTGAGAGCCTTGTCCCAGAGATCCGTCCTCAATGCCTGAGATGTGTTCCAGGGAGTGGGTGGTTGGTGTCAGGGGTGGTGCTGAGGGCCCTTAGCAGATGTAGCCGCCCCTCCTGCCATAGCAGCCCAGGCCTCCCAGGCCGTAGCCAAATCCACGGCCATAGCCAAGGCCGTAGCCAAAGCCACCAAATCCGCCAGAGATGGGCTGTCCCTGCACACTGAGCTCAGTGCCCACGGCAGCCGAGGAGGTGGATCCGACGGCGGTGTTCTGGGGGAAGGAGGTCATGATGGGTCCTGGCAGGGTGACCAGCACAGGGGAAGGCTGGATAACAACTCGGGAATCCTGGCATTGCAGGGCACAGGGCTCGTTGCAGCTGTTGGCCAGCGGGGTGGGTCCGCATGGTTGGCAGAGGGTGTTGCAGGCCATGGGGGTGGTGTGGAGGGTGCCTGGAAGAGAAGGAGGTAATGCAGAGCAGGGGTGAGGGTTGCAAGGGGTAGTGATGGAGTGTGGAGGCTGTTGTGGGGCTGTGGGGAGGCGTGAGGGCTGTTGAGGCTGGGGCTGAGCGTGCTGGAAGAGAGGGGCCAGGGGTGCAGGGGCAGGAGGGTCAGGGGAGTGAGGCTCACCTGGTTTCTGGAAGAAGCGGCAGGAGAAGCAGTCTGGAGAAGTGTGTGAGGGAGAGAGGCTCTGGGCCGGCTTTTATGCTGGTCCTGGAGGGGTGGGCCAGCCTTGTCCCATGGCCTTGGGGCTTTTTTGAGGCAGCAGCTCTGGCCTGGCCCAGCAGGGTGATTCATGAGTTGGGGTGTGGTTTCATTCATGCAATTGTGCAATTCCATGTCCTGCTCTTGAGGCCATGTCCATCTGACCTTGGAGGCAGCCTTCTGTCAGGAGCTTGTATTTGGGAGGATTTGGTTGTTCATTTGTCAAGGAAGATTGAATAAGCAACCTCAGCCCTGGAGATTTGCAATCTCATCAGTGAGGCCATTTTGTGGTCTAACTCATGTGCTGTGGTTTGTTGGTGCCTTGTGAAGACTGGGACTCTGTTCTCTGCCATTGGATGTCCATCAGTCATTATGTTGCACCCAGGAATGCTGCGGGAGCTGCTTCTGTCCTGAGGAGGTCACTCTGCAAAATCTTGGACAATTTTGTGCCTGGGCGTGTTTCCTGATGGAGGACAGAGAGCTCCTGGCCTTGTGTCTTGAGTGGGGTCAGGGGAGAGGATCTGGAAAAAGTGAGGCTGTTCAGGCTCTATGTGTTACAGTGTGATGGTCCATTTGGATTTCCTAAATTTAAACAGCAACCTAATCTGTCTTTTAAAATGTATTTCTTGACCTCTGACAGAAATTTAAGAAATAAACAACAAATGGAGCCCATCCCTTTGTTCCCAGGCTGGTCCGTGACGTCAATTCGTTTATTCCGCATTCAAGCCGTGAGGTTTCACAATTTATATCCTCGGAGTCTTGGTATTATGTTCCTCATAGCAAATACCTATTAATTACTAATGGATGCACAACAACCTCCTCTTTCCTTCACTGCCATTATTTGGGCATTTCTTTGTGGAATTCTCAGATTCCACGTCCTTCTCTTGAGGCCGTATCCATCTCACCTTGGCAGCAGCCTTTAAGTGTGCCTTTTGGAGATGAAATTTTGGTGTTGTGGGTGCAGGATGAAGAGGTGACCAAAGCTTTGCAGAACTGAGGCTGCCCTGCAGCCCTGCCTTGCCGTGGTCTGTGGCTGTGTTGGGGAAAGTTCCCCCAGCCTCTCTCGGCCCTGACAAGCTGCTCTGGGCTTTGCTGCTGTTCCAAGTACCTGGTGTTGCCCCTTCCACCCCATTCCCTCTCTCCATGCAGTTTCCCCAGCTGTCAAAGCCTGACTGGAGACATCACCTTCACCATCAGTCATGCTCTGAGGGTGCCTTGCTGTCCCCTCTTGTTTGGAAGTTTTACAGTGATGGAAGGATTTGATATCCAGGGGTTTTGGGATCTTTACATGGGATGAGTGTGGAGGAGCAAGATCACTTCTCTGGGCGATGTCTGATTGACAGAAAGAGCATTTGGAAATTGTCCAGGGTTTTTGGAGTGAGTATTGCACAATCCTCAATAACCCAGGCAAGTCCAGGTGTCCAGTGTGGTGGCCTGAGAAGGATCTGAATGGCAGGGCCCAGAAGGTTGAGGTCTGGGATGTCCTTCAAACAGGCAGAAGCTGAGAGGGCTGGGAGATCTTTCAGGCAGGAGGCAAGAATGCAAATGGGACATGTTCCCATTATACCATGGAATGACCTCAGATGACACCCTAGTTCTCCTCAGCTTTGGCTGAACCTTCTACATGCCCTGACACGCCCCACCAACAGCCACACACTGGTCTCTAATTCTGGCAGTTCAGAGGAGCCGCCAAGGTCAGATGGACACAGCCCCAAGGGAAGGACATGAAACTGCACAACTCCAGGAAGGAAAACACTCCCTACCTCAGGACTCACCAGGCTGGGCCAGGAAAGAGCTGCTGCCTCAAAAAAGCCCCAAGGCCATGGGACAAGGCTGGCCCACCCCTCCAGGACCAGCATAAAAGCCGGCCCAGAGCCTCTCTCCCTCACACACTTCTCCAGACTGCTTCTCCTGCCGCTTCTTCCAGAAACCAGGTGAGCCTCACTCCCCTGACCCTCCTGCCCCTGCACCCCTGGCCCCTCTCTCCAAGCACACTCAGCCCCAGCCTCAGCAGCCCTCACGCCTCCCCACAGCCCCACAACAGCCTCCATGCTCCATCACTACCCCTTGCAACCCTCACCCCTGCTCTGCATCACCTCCTTCTCTTCCAGGCACCCTCCACTCCACACCCATGGCCTGCAACAACATCTGCAGTCCCTGCGGACCCACCCCGCTGGCCAACAGCTGCAACGAGCCCTGTGCCCTGCAATGCCAGGATTCCCGCGTTGTTATCCAGCCTTCCCCTGTGCTGGTCACCCTGCCAGGACCCATCATGACCTCCTTCCCCCAGAACACCGCCGTCGGATCCACCTCCTCGGCTGCCGTGGGCACTGAGCTCAGTGTGCAGGGACAGCCCATCTCTGGCGGATTTGGTGGCTTTGGCTACGGCCTTGGCTATGGCCGTGGGTTTGGCTACGGGCTGGGAGGCCTGGGCTGCTATGGAAGAAGGGGTGGCTACATCTGCTAAGGGCCCTCAGCCTCACCCCAGACACCAACCACCCACTCTGTGGGACTCATCTCAAGCATAGAGGATTCTACTCGGCACAAGGCTCTCAAGTGGCCTCTGTAATTCCAGTTCCTTTCATGCTTAAGCCGTCATCTTCTCTCAAGGCACCAGGCAAGGCAGCAGCCAAGGGGCCAGCCTGGGCTGCCTGCAAACAAGGACCATCTGCCTCTGGATCTTCTCCCACTCTTTATCAGCTCTATGCAGTCCCCTCTTCTGCAAATCCCTTCTCCCAACCCAGAGGCCATTGTGAACCTTCAACATCCGGCTGCTTCTTCTGTGGAGCAGGAAGGCCTTGACGCTCTGCCCAAACCACTACAATCAAAGGACCTTGGCTGGTGGTCACCCTACTTCTCCCTCAGACCAGCTCCCTTCTACCGGCTGCTCCTGACCTCTCACTGTTCTTTTGCCTCAATAAAATTCTCTTGCCTTGCAACAAGAGACGTCTCCTTACACTTCCTTCTGGCTAAGGTGCGCCAACAACACTTGGCACAAATCCGTGTCACTACACGCCATTTGGTGAGGCTGCAAATTGCACCAACACCTCTCTTGGAATTGGTTCTGCAGTTCCACTACTCACTGGGACACACTGACACACTTGGTGGCCATCACAGAGAAGAATTTCACTTGCTTAATCTCGGCCTGGACACACCAATGCAGGTCTATCCTTGATTCTGGCACAAGCCCCTCATGGGTGCTGTGTTCATTTCGGCTGGACATTGTTGGCTCCGGACCCTCATCATCTTCCAGTCCCAATTACAGATCCGCACAACCTGCTTCATGTCTCCCTTATTTTCATGTCCCAGAGTTGAACACAAATCTCCAATCCACATCAAACAGGGAGAGGGGCAGAATTTCCCCCCCATTCACCTTCTGCTCATGCCGTGGACAGGAGCCCAGGACATGGGGAGTTTCTGGTCAGCTCGTTCACGTCGTGGGGCAGCTCCAGCTCTTCACCCACCAACACTCCAAGGCTTTCTCCTCTCGACTGCTCTCAATCCAATCATCATCAAGTCTACAGCCATCTTTGGAATTGCTCCAAACCACATGCAGCTCCTTGCGCTTGGCCTTGTTCAGCTTCATGAAAATGACAATATCCCACATTCCCAACCTGGTCCAGCCCCTCTAAATGCCATCCCTTCCCTCCAGACAACCAACCCCACCACTCAGCTTGGAGTGGTCCCTGCTTTTGCTGATCACCCCACTACATCCCAGTACACTGATTTCTGACAATGATTCATAATTTTAACAATCCCAACATGAGTCTTTCTGGGTCACCACTCATCCCCATTCTCCACACAGGGACGTGGAGCCACTGACCACAAATCTCTGAGTGACACCATCCCGCCCACTCCTTATCCACCAAATGGTCCAACCAACATCCACATCTCTCCAGCATAGAGACAAGGATGTTGTCTGGCACAGGAACAAAGGACTTGCACAACTCCAGGTGCAGGATACTGGCATCTCTTCCCTCATCCACCCCTTTTTTGGGTGAATACCAACTCATCAAAGCTGATGCCAAGGTCAGAAGGGCACAGCCTCGAGAGCAGGACACGGAATTTCAGAGCTGTGGGAAGCAAAGCGTTCCCAACCTCGTCACTCACCAGGCTGTGCCAGGCAAGAGCAGCTGGCCTGGAAAATGCCCCAATGTCATGGGCAATGGCTGTCCAAAACCTTCAGCCATGGATCATCCTTGAGGCTGTGCTCTGGATATCCCTCACCTGAGTCTTGTCTTCCTTGTTCCCAGTAACCCAGAGATTCACGGAGTTCTCCACAATCATCAGAGCAGAGCAGGGGCAGAATCTGCTGCACCTGGATTGGAGCAATCCCAACCATGCAGGATAAAGGCTGGGGGATGAGGGGATTGAGCCCAAGGAGGAGCACTTGGGGTGCTGGTGCATGAAGTATTGGACATGCCCTGCCATGGGAATGCACCAAACAGAAACCCCTCTGTGTCCTAGGCTCATCCCCAGAGCGTGGGTGGCAGGTGAGGGGGGGATTCTGCACCTCTGCTCCACTCTGGTGAGACTGGAGATGTGAGTTCAGCTCTGGGTCCTGGAAAAAAGGAAGACATGGACCTGCCCAGCCAGAGCTGGAGATCACCCTGGAAGACAATGACTGGCAGGAGCAACAGGAGTCCAGAAAAATTGCACACAGCACCCACGAGGGGCTTGTGCCAGGGGCAGGGATAGACCTGCATTGGGGTGTCCAGGTTTGTGTTTCAAAAGCTGAAGGATTCATGTGATAATGTACCTGAAGTGCAAAATGTCACCGTGAGAAGTGGAACTGCAGAAATAATACCTAAGCATGATCTTGGTGTATTTTTTAACCAACCCCAGTGGCCTCTACAAGCCTGGCTTAGTGCTGAGTGAGACTGGAGGAAGCTTGGGAGAAGAAAGAAGGAGTCACCTGAGGTAGTGATGCAAGAAACCTTTATTGAGGTAGAAGAGTGAAAACTCAGGAGCAGCCAGTGGAAGGGAGCTGGTCTGAGGTGCAAGGAGGGCCAGCATCAGCCAAGGCCCCTTCCTTTGGTGAGGTTTGGCCAGAGCATCGAGGCTTTCCTGCCCTGCCATGGGAGCAGCACAATGGCGGAGGTGCCCGATGGCCTCTGGCTTGGGAGAAGGGGTTTGTCCAGAGGGGGTTGGATAGAGCTGAAGGGTCCATGGAGAGCAGGGAGCAGGAGAAGAGCAGGCGACAGAAGGGCCATGTTTGGGGACAGCCTGGGCTGCCCCCTTGGCTGCTGCCTTGCTTGGTGCCCTGAGAGCAGGAGCTGGAAGCGCCGAGTCTGCTTGAGTGCCTTGTCCCAGAGATCCGTCCTCAATGCCTGAGATGAGTTCCAGGGAGTGGGTGGTTGGTGTCAGGGGTGGTGCTGAGGGCCCTTAGCAGATGTAGCCACCCCTTCTGCCAGAGCAGCCCAGGCCTCCCAGCCCATAGCCAAATCCACGGCCATAGCCAAGGCCGTAGCCAAAGCCACCAAATCCGCCAGAGATGGGCTGTCCCTGCACACTGAGCTCAGTGCCCACGGCAGCCGAGGAGGTGGATCCGACGGCGGTGCTCTGGGGGAAGGAGGTCATGATGGGTCCTGGCAGGGTGACCAGCACAGGGGAAGGCTGGATAACAACTCGGGAATCCTGGCATTGCAGGGCACAGGGCTCATTGCAGCTGTTGGCCAGCGGGGTGGGTCCGCAGGGACTGCAGATGTTGTTGCAGGCCATGGGGGTGGTGTGGAGGGTGCCTGGAAGAGAAGGGGTAATGCAGAGCAGGGGTGAGGGTTGCAAGGGGTAGTGATGGAGTGTGGAGGCTGTTGTGGGGCTGTGGGGAGGCGTGAGGGCTGCTGAGGCTGGGGCTGAGCGTGCTGGAAGAGAGGGCCCAGGGGTGCAGGGGCAGGAGGGTCAGGGGAGTGAGGCTCACCTGGTTTCTGGAAGAAGCAGCAGGAGAAGGCTTGAGGAGAAGTGTGTGAGGGAGAGAGGCTCTGGGCCGGCTTTTATGCTGATCCTGGAGGGGTGGGACAGCCTTGTCCCATGGCCTTGGGGCATTTTGAGACAGCAGCTCTATCCTGGCCCAGCCTTGTGAGTCGTGAGTTGGGGAATGTTTTCCTTCATGGAGTTCTGCAATTCCATGTCCTGCTCTTGAGGCCATATCCATCTGACCTGGGAGGCAGCTTCCTGTCAGGAGTTGTTATTTTGGA